GCACGCACGCACGCACGCACGCACACACACACACATGCCCTCCTCAGCCAGCACCCCCCCTCCTCCACCAGCGCCCTCTCGAGTCAGGGATAGGCTGAGCCGCTGGAGTATCCCAGATGCTCTGGTCAGTCGCCAACCTAGTCTCAATCAAATCCAAGCACTCTCTGCAGCCCCCCCCCCCCGCCCCTCGAAGCGCAGCCATCATCGCATCCGCGTTTAAACTCACCGAACCCACCGCAGGTGGAGCGTGGCCTCCGACGCAAGATGGCGGAAACTTCGAGGGGCGCCTAAACTCGACCAGCACAGGAACATGATCGCGCCGTCGCACAGCATTGGTGAGCTGAAGTTCCCTACCGCATCGAAATAGAGCACCCGCTCGCAGAACAACGTCTCCCAGGCGAGCAGGAAGACATACGAAATCCACGTGCGAGGAAGACGGCTGCCCGTAGTACGCGCCCACGCTAGAGCGCGCGGATGTGGACTCCACGCAGTGATCCTTCAGCAAGTTGCGCACAACCGAGCCCGCGTAGTGCTCCTCCGTCGAGCCCGCCGCTGGAACAGTGCCACCGTTCTCGATAAGGATATTTCCAGCAGCCTTACCCATGCCATCATTGAGATACATCATCAGAGCAGGAACCGATCGAAGGACACACTGACAACTCCTGCTGTAGCCATTGCAGAACATGCTCCACCGTTCGCCGATACGCAGCCTGCGTCGCAATCTCCGTCATGCGAGGAAGGGAATACACCAGCAGGAACGCCTGAACCGCCTGAAGCCTGACGACCAGGCAACAGCCTGCCGAGGCCTCTGGGCCTGACCTGACAGCCCTGGCGTGCTTGTCCTTGAACCTCTTGTGCAACAAAAGGCTCGCGCCGCAAGACTTGTTGGAAAAGGGCCTCCTCTCCCAGTCTCGCTCGATCAGGATGCGGCCCGAGATGACCCTCCTCTGAACTTTCCGCTCCCGCATACGCAGTTGTGTCCCAATGAGCCCCACCGCATCAACACTACACAAAGACGAAGTGATATCCTCAAGTCGTGCATACCTGCTTGCCGCCAGCGGATTGACTTGAACGGATTTCCACGTTGGTCCTTCCGTGTACGCAGGACCTCTCCACATGCACGACAAGTCCACCACTGACAGCAGGAGGGAACGACATCAATGGCGGCGGTGCCACAAGGTGCGCTGGTCTGCGCCCGTCGGTCGGCTGATGTGCTGAATGTAATGTGAGTAGCACATACAAAGGGCGCCTGCCGTCCACACATATCTGGAGCCAAAACGGCGGCTTAGAGGGAAGAGGAAGGGGAGGAAAAGGAGGTGGAAGAGGAGGCGCGTGGCCGAAGGAGGAGCGTGGAGGAGCGTGGAGGAGGAGGAGGAGGAACGTGGAGGAGGAGGAAGAGGAGGACCCAGACCCCCTCGGATCGTGAAAACACACATGACGGATTCCGGAAACCCTGAAACCAAAATAATTGACATCTCTTCTGGGTGCATGTTGTACTTCCGCCACCTTCCGCCGCCCTTGCGCTGCCCTTCCGCCAACTACCGCCAGCGGAGGCGACCTCGTTATACTGGCGCCGCCTTCCGCCGCCCTTCCGGCGCCTTCCGCCGAGGAAGAGATGGCAACTCCTTCGATCCTCGACGGCAAGGCCGTTCTTGGAACGCCCCATATGAGATGAGGCGTCGGTCATGATAGGGCCCCGTGGGAGGTGTTGGAAGCGCCTGGGAGTCCACTTTGCACAATGTTCACGACGTCGGGAGTCTCAGGAGGACGAGGAGGATGGGGAAGAGTTGGGCCAGCAAGGCGGCCCAACATTGCCGCCAGAGGCACCCAACACTCCCAAGAAAACCCCCAGAGGGGCCGAAGGGAGCAGAATCACAGGACCCCAGAGGGATCCAAGAAGGCCTCGCGGGAGACCGAGGCGGCAACAAGACGGCCCAGGCAGGCCCTGGAGGCGCAACGTGTCAGGCCCTCCAGTGCGCTGCTCCAAGCGCCGCCGCACAAGGCGCTGCGCTGGCACGGAGGCGGAACTTGCCGCAGGCAAAGCTTCGGAGGGCCTGGGCCTCTTGAGAGTCCAGGGGCCGCCTCGGAATGTGCTATCATCCTCCTCTGGCACTGCGGAGAGCCACCGGCCTCCGCCACCCCCCCCCAGTCAAGCAAACGAGCCTGGAGGCTTCCACGATGGGGCCAAAGCGGATGGGGTGCTCAAAGACCGCGATCCGGCGCCAGTGCATCGGCAACGCGGATCTGCTGCAGCCCAGCCTGGGCGGCCTGGAAGCAACCCTCGGGGCCGCACGGGCCCAGCAGAGAGGGGGGGGCAGCAGGGCGAGGGGGCGAGCCCGCGGCTGGGCGGGCGGCGGGCCGTGCGTGGCCCTGCCAATTTCGCCGCGCTCCTTGTCCCAGGGGTCGCTGATCTTGTTGTTGACGCCAAAGGGCCGGAAGCACAAGCTGCCCGCCAGCGTCAGCACCATGCCTGCGCCCGGGCCGGCCGCCACTGCCTCTTCTCCCGCTGCGCCTCGGTCCGCTGACGGGGTCGCCTGTGTGGCGCGGCGGCACCGAACCTCGGCCTGGAGCGAACCCGCAGCCCCTGAGCCTGCTGCTCGCTGCGGGCCGCTCTGCTGCGGTCCTCGGGAGGGGGGAGGGGGGGGGGGCGGGATCGGCTCCTGGCGCCCGAGACTGCTGGAAAAGGGCTCCCGCCACGGTGCATCTGGTTTGGCAGCGCCCCCCGTCAGCCTATCCTCCCTTCGCCTCCGGCCGCAGGGCAGAACGACATATTGCCTCCCTCCTCCGTCCTCCTCGCCACCAGCTGTGCCCCTGGCCATCTGGGCGCCTGGCCGCTGAAAGGTCCCAGCTCCTCCTCCCGAGTTGAGGGCACTCGTTCTGATTACCTCGATCGGATTCTCGTGGTCTTTGGCCTAAAACTTACAGTAAAGCTGAGCTAGCCGAGAAGCAGAAATATCGCGTTGAAGCTAGCGTTTCCCGGCCTAGTCGCCATATCCAGAACTCCAAAACTCCTCCTCCTCCTTCTCCTCCTCCTTCTCCTTCCTCCTTCTGAGATGCAACGATAAGGGGGGACCGGTTCAAGAAGCAAAACACCAAGCTGGAATCAACGATACATCGCCGATGGATCGGTGATAGGCCCCCAATAACAAATCCGCAAGTTCCCAGGCCGGGTGGGGTCATCGGGCACCAATCGGCGATCAATGGGCGATTGGAGGTCGATGCACCCCTCTGAGCCTACGTCGTTGCCCCTGACCTTCTGTTGCCCACCCCCCTCCTCCTCAGGATTGCCAGGGCCACTCACCCCCTGTGGCAGTCTCCAGAAGCAGCCAGGCCCTGCAGCCAGGCAGCCTCCTGCTCCCAACGGGAGGCCAAGGGGGAAGGCATCTGCCGCACGTTGTGACCCGATGAGCCGCTCCTGAAAGATGGCCACGCACAGTGCTGCGCTGACAAGGCCGCAGGACTTGCCGCAGGCGCATGGACAGTTGCGGCGTCTCCTCCTCGATAGTTTACTCTTGTGTATCTCCCTCTCAACCCCTCCAGCCAACACTTCGAATCTCGGCGCGCACTCCATGCTCCACCTGGTTCCCAGGCCTCCAGGCCAATGGCGCGCCTCGCACTGCAGATCACGCGCGCCTGCGCGCGCTTCACCCCGTCGCCCGTCTCTTCTGCTCCTGCCTCCCTGGCCACTTGAAGCCCGTTGGCTAGTGCAGCCTCTGGCTTGCCCCGTTGCCGGTGGCCCGCGACGCGGGCAGGGCGCAGACAACGCTGGCGCTTCTGGAGGCCGAAGAAGAGACGGTCATCGTCGATGGTGACGGGGTCGACTACCCTGAAATCCGGAGACCGCAGGCCCGCCTCTAAGCGCGCAGGTGCCACCGAGGGGCGTTGAGCGGACACCCACGCGTTTTGCGTTACCGGTCCGTTCACTGGCGAGTCTCACAACTGCGTATCCTGGCGATCTCGTCCGCCTCCAAAGCCTGCCACCGACCCCACGTAGCATGCTCATTGTTGGGGTCGCTGGCAATCGCTTGGCTTGGAGGGAGGGTTGATACGAATTCAAGGCACTCCTAAAACACACGAGATGCACCTAAGCTGCCATGACCTGCCCTAACGCCCGAATTGCTACGTGGCTGTCGCGTTGCTTGTTCCCCGACTCCTTCTAGACTTTCTGCTACTTACGCTGGACGACCCCCCTACCAGGGTGCGGCACACATCTGCGGGATGCTTCGCTCCGCCTGGCCTCCCCTCCGCTGGAGAGCGGAAGCCAATCCTGTGCCGCGTCTCGAGGCTGACAGGCGCGCAGCCACAAGAGACAGGGCTGCCCGCAGGCCGCAGGGCACAGCATGGAACTAGGAAGCACCCCAAGATTTGACAAAGCCCATGAAAGGTGGGGCGCACCACCAAGAGGGGTGCGCAGGTCGGAGAAGCCCTCACCGCCAGAGAAGACCAGACAAGTGAGGCACCAAAGGAGGTGCCAAAGACTGGGTAGTGATCGTCGGCAAGTAGATCGCGCGCCCGCAGGCGGAGGAGAAGAAGGAGAAAGAAGAAAGGAGGCTACGGGTCCCCGTCCCGCTGTCGGCCCACGCCTAAAGGAAGAAAAACAACGGCGGGAGGGCGCCTTGGAGTATCATGCAGCTCACAGCCACCTGGATCATGATCTTCAGCCACAGCGGCAGCCTCCTGCGAGGCAAGGGGCGAGCTGGTCAGAGAGAACTCCGCGCCGCACCGCTCGGAAAGGGAGGGGGTCGTGGACAGCCTGGAGAAGTGCTGAGGGGGCGCGAGCGTACCCCACCCACCCAAGATTGGCGGGGTTGGCGGGACTGCACGCGCGTGGCTTCGACCAGAGAGGGGGGAGGGCGGCAGGGGGCGTCCCGTCCCAGGGAGGTCCTGGATATCGTGCTCGCGGTCGTGGGGCGGCGGCAGGAAGAGAGCGCGCGCAGCGCGTCTGGCGTCACCCCGGGGAGGCGAAACCTCATTGTTCTGATGCCCCCAGGAGCGCCAGAAAAAAGTCGGCTGCGCGCTCGGCAAACATCCGTGGAGGCAAGGATTGGGTTGGATCCGCGCGTGGGCACGCTCCGCTGCCCCCCAACCCCCTCCCCAGAGCGCAGTGGGGTGGCCCGAACTGCAAGCATGGCAGCACCCACGAGAGGTGAGGGCTGCGCACGGCGGCACTTCGCTGGACCCCCCCCACAGGGCAAGGAAACGACAAGTGGAGGGAGACTCTGATAGAGAGGGAGAGAGAGAGAGAGAGGGCGAGACAGAGAGAGAGAGAGAAAGAGAGACACAGAGAGTGAGAGAGAGAGAGAGACAGACAGAAAGATAGAACGAGAGAGATGAGATCAAGGTGACAGGCTGGAGGTCAATCAGGGTGGGCATTTGATCTCAATCCCCCACCAACCTCCTTATCGCCCGAAGGGCGGTCGTATAGGTATGTGTGTAGGTAAAGAAAGTGCCAAGACAGCGTCAGAGAGTTCAACAGCATTCCCGAAACATTTTTGCATGTGACCCCGAAGTCTTGATGGGGCTCGAGGAAGAGGATAGGGAGTGGGAGTCCCATGTTTTGTTTAAAGCATTTTTTGGAATTCCCTTTTTTCCCAACCATCCTGTGGTGTTGGGTCCTCGTTTTGAAGAGACGGTGCCCCGCGTTCCCGCCTCCTTCCTCCCTCCCTCCTCCCCCCTCCTCCCCCTCCCACACCCATTTTGGCACACCCCTCACAGGCTTCGTGGCCCCATAGGGAGCTCCACCGAAGGCCCCTGTGGCTGCGTTCGCATGCGCCCACCGCACCCATTTCGGCGCACCCCTCACACGCTTCGTGGCCCCACAGGGAGCTCCACCGAAGGCCCCAGTGGCTGCGTTCACATGCGCCCACCGCACCGATTTCGGCACACCCCTCACACGTTTCGTGGCCCCATAGGGAGCCTCACCGAAGGCCGCCGTGGCTGCGTTCGCATGCGCCCACCGCACCCAGTTCGGTTTACCCCTCACACGTTTCGTGGCCCCACAGGGAGCTCCACCGAAGGCCCCAGTGGCTGCGTTCACATGCGCCCACCGCACCCATTTCGGCACACCCCTCACACGCTTCGTAGCCCCATAGGGAGCCTCACCCAAGGCCCCCGTGGCTGCGTTCGCATGCGCCCACCGCACCCAGTTCGGCACACCCCTCACACGTTTCGTGGCCCCATAGGGGGCTCCACCGAAGGCCCCAGTGGCTGCGTTCGCATGCGCCCACCGCACCCAGTTCGGCACACTCCTCACACGTTTCGTGGCCCCACAGGGAGCTCCACCAAAGGCCCCAGTGGCTGCGTTCACATGCGCCCACCGCACCCATTTCGGCACACCCCTCACACGTGACGTGGCCCCATAGGGAGCTCCACCGAAGGCCCCCGTGGCTGCGTTCGCATGCGCCCACCGCACCCAGTTCGGCACACCCCTCACACGTTTCGTGGCCCCACAGGGAGCTCCACCGAAGGCCCCAGTGGCTGCGTTCATATGCGCCCACCGCACCGATTTCGGCACACCCCTCACACGTTTCGTGGCCCCATAGGGAGCCGCACCCAAGGCCCCCGTGGCTGCGTTCGCATGCGCCCACCGCACCCAGTTCGGCACACCCCTCACACGTTTCGTGGCCCCACAGGGAGCTCCACCGAACGCCTCAGTGGCTGCGCTCGCATGCGGTTCCACCCCCCATTTCGGCACACCCCTCACACGCTTCGTGGCTCCATAGGGAGCTCCACCGAAGGCCCCAGTGGCTGCGCTCGCATGCGGTTCCACCCCCAATTCTGGCACACCCCTCACACGCTTCGTGGCCCCATAGGGAGCTCCACCGAACGCCCCAGTGGCTGCGCTCGCATGCGGTTCCACCCCTCATTCTGGCACACCCCTCACACGTTTCGTGGCCCCATAGGGAGCTCCACCGAAGGCCCCAGTGGCTGCGCTCGCATGCGGTTCCGCCCCCAATTTCGGCACACACACCCCACACGTTTCGTGGCCCCATAGGCGGCGCCGCTTATTTCGGCACACCCCTCACACGTTTCGTGGCCCCATAGGGAACTCCACCTAAGGTCCCCGTGGCGCAGTGCGCATGGCGCCGCCGCCCCATTTCGGCACACCCCTCACACGTTCCGTGGCCCCACAGGGAGCTCCATCTCAGGTCCAAGTGGCGCAACTCGCATGGCGCCGCCGCCCCATTTTGGCACACCCCTCACACGTTTCGTGGTCCCATAGGGAGGGAGGAGGAGGTGGAGGAGGAGGAGGAGGAGGAGGAGGAGGAGGAGGAGAAGGAACCCCCACGATATCCACAATTGCGGTATTCACAACTACGTATGGTTGGGTCTTTCGTCAAGCTAATTTTCAAATTCCTCGGTCTTGGAGCGTTGGAAGCGGGAAAACGTGAGAAGGCGGAAAGCGTCGACAAAAACCACTGGAAAGCAACGAGTTTACCCTCTTCGGGCTCTCTCGGGACGGTTCTCGAAGCTCTGTTGGGCTGTTTTGGGGGCCTCGTCGGTGATTTTTGGGGGGCCTCTCAGGCCTCTTGGAGGTCCCGGAATCCTCTCGGAGGTCTCTGGAGGCCTCCTGCTCCCGCTCTTGGGCTCATCTTGGGCCTGTTCGGGCGCCTCTTCGGCAGTCTTGGAGCCGTCTTGGCCCGTTTTGGAGCCGTCTTGGGGGCCTCTTGGGCGGTCTCGGGGCGGTTTTGGGGGCCTCTTCGGCCGCCTTGGAGCGTTGGGAGTATGAAATGGTGAGAAGGCCAAAATTAATTGAACCAACAATGAAAATTAACGATTTTAGGTTCTCCAGGCGCTCTCGGGAGGCAGCTGTTTTGGGGGCCTCGTCAGCGCTTTTTGGGGGGCCTCTCAAGGGTCTGGGGTGTGTTGGAGGCCTCTGGGTGTCCCGAAATCCTCTCGGAAGTCTCTGGCGGCCTCCTGCTCCCGCTCTTGGGCTCACCTTGGGCCTGTTCTGAGGTGATCTGGAGCTGTCCGGGGCGCCTCTGCGGCAGTCTTGGGGCCGTATTGGCCCGTCTTGGGGCCGTTTTGGAGGCCTCTTGGGCGGTCTTGGGGGACTCTTCGGCGGTCTTGGAACGTTGGAAACATGAAATGGTGAGAAGGCCAAAAGCCATGGAAAAAAAAACCTTAAACTTAGAGATTTTTGATTTTCCAGGCGCTCTCGGGAGGCCTCTTGGGGGGCCTCTCGGATCACTCTTGATGTCTCTTGGAGGCCTCCTGGGAGCCTGGAGAACCGCCCGAAACCTATCCTGGGTTACTTAGGAGCGTCTTGGGCCTTTCCTTTACGTTCTGGGGGGTTCTTGGGGTCGTCTTGGGTTGTCTTTGGGCATTTTGGGAGCTCGCCGGGAGGCCGGGAAGCGCGGTGCCGAGAGCGTACACCAAATGTGAGCGAGGTGGAGGACGCCCCGGGAGGGGGCCCGGCCTATTTGCTTATAGACTATTAAATAGATACGCGTATGTATATATATATATATATACATTTACACATATATATATTCTCATACGCACCTCTCCGAGGGAGTAAAGCTCAGAGGCGATTAGTGCGCACGTCGTCCGCGATTTTTCTGGCCGTTTCGCTCGGGACATCCTCGAAATTCTGAAAATCGGTGGCACCCATCACGCAGATCGTGACGTCAGGGTCCAAAAACACATGGGAATTTCAACATTTTAACATACAACCTTCAAACACACATGGTAATTTCAATAATTTTGACCCCGATTCTCAGAGAATGGCGGTTTCGCCTGAGACATCCTCCCAAAATCGAGCCCCAGACCCCTCCTCGGAGCCTCCTGGTGGCCTCCTGGAACCTCCTGGGGCCTCCTGGGGCTTTCTGGACCTTCTGGTACCCCAGACCCCGCCTCGGAGCCTCCTGGAGTTTTCCTGGGCCTGCTGAGGCCGCCTGGGGCCTCCTGGGGCTTCAGAAACTACATGCACACACAGAGACACAAATCACGCCCAACACACCACACGCTAGACAAACATAACATACACACACACAACACCGACAACACACAAAAAACACGCACCACACAAAACACACATCACACACAACATTCACAATCCTGGGGCCTCCTGGAGCCTCTTCTGGTATCCAAGTCGGGCCTCCTGAGGCTTCGTGCGGGGCCCTGGTACACACACACACATCGCAAGGTGTGGCAACCCCACTTGCGCTCGAGTGCGACTTCGCTGTTGCATGTCACTCCTGCTTCAAACGCCCCTTCAGCTTGTTGTATGGGCCTGGGCACACACGTGCCACTTGTGTGTATATATATATGTATATATATATGTATATATGTATATACATATATACATATATATATATATATATATATATACTAGAACCACGCGCGCGCTACGCGCGCGCTTAGGTTCTAGCTTCGTCCGGGGCAACGGCCAAACAACGGACGAGGAGGTTGAAGGCTGAATGCACTTCGGTTATTCGTCGAGTTTCGCGGTCGTGGTTCGAAAAGGTTTTGGGCGCTCCTCACCACCAGGCGGCCCGAGGCGGCCGAAAACGACACTTCTGCCTCATCCTCCTCTTTCCCCCTGCTTTTCCTCCTCTCCTCCTACTCTTCCTCCTCCCCCCCTCGCCCCCTTTCCTTTTTCCCCATCTCCTCCGCCCCCTTCCTCCCCTCCTCCTCCTTCCCCTCCTCCTCATCCTTCCCTCTTCCTCCTCCTC